CCCGGCCTTCCCAATTTGAGAAATGAATTCATCTTCGCCAGGGAATTAGGCAGCTACCAAGATAAACGAGCTTATCCAGTTCAGGTTTGGCGTTAACATCATCCAATCTTGGAGCAGCACTTTACACGAAACGCGAAGTGCACCACGAAATGTGGTACAGAAATGTCTGGATTACTTGAAATAGTTTGAATTTCTAAAGAATGTGAATCAGTGAGAGCAATAGCTTCTGCCTACTCTCGCAGTATTTAGGCAGAGCACTGGAAGCGCATTAGTTCCAGCTTATTCACTGCCATGCTGGTCCGTTTTGGGGCAGTGTTACTGAATAATCTATGCAACGCGGGTACGTTGTTACATGATAGTCATTTCTTAACCGAGAAAAGTAACAATGATACCAGCCGTTGCTGCGAAACATGTCTTTGGTGTACGGTTTTCACCTGTAACTACGAGCCGTGCAAACAGGATGCCGATATCATCCGCCCCACTGGTTGCGGGAAGTCCATAGCTTATTTGACTCGCATCACGTGTGAATACGTTGTCCAATATGAACAAAACTAGTCCTCTCTCGACGATACACTCAACGGTCTCACTAACATCAGATTTCTCAATTGGCAGCCTTCATTCATTGAATCCAGATACCACCGTTTGCGCGGAGAGCAACACCATCCAATCCGCAAATCCTACTTGTTCCAAACGTTTCATTGTTTACTATGCCGTCGGACTGTTTGAGATGGATCTGTTCAAACCCAGAGGATCATATTCGCGAACCGTATCTTCTCACCCATGTTCTCTATACCAAAACTGCCTTGTCAAATGCATTCTACTAATAACCGCTCAAATGAAGAGCTAGATGGCTCAGCGGGCTACTTGTCCTATCACTACTATATTATACTTCCCGTTACACTGTTGCTATACCAAAAGTACTTTACATTTACTTGCTACTGTCGTTTAATTTTGAAGAACATGGTCACAGACACAAAAGGTAAATGCAAGCGATGGATGTGGAAGGGTTACAGAAGAATACTATATAAAAAGAGAGAAGCATCTCATTCGAAATCAGGTTACCAACAATTCCAGTCCGACAAGATGAATCGCAGTGCATATAAGAATGTTTCGTATGGGAACACCCGTGTGAAGACCAACAACCGAGGAAAACACAGACAGTGTTGAGTGCTCTTCGAGGCGCGGTAAGTGGTAGCACAGTCAAGACTCGCACATCAGGCACAAAGTGTCCGTCATACTGGATCTGGTGTGAGGTTCAATGGCAAGAATGCACACTCAACTACATGTACCACGCATAAAAGTGTCGTAATAAGCAGAGAGCCCACAGTGGCAAGTAAACACAAGTCAGTGACTGTAACCTTAGGAAGTACTTAGTCCAATAACAGCCTTGGCGGATTGAGGAAAGCAGATCCCCCAATAAGGGATGATCATTGGTTGGTGTACAAAAAGGTCGACATCACAACCAATGGCATGTAGGGCTGAGATTATGGTGAGGGAATGTTCATCAGCACCATACTTCTGCTTTTTCTCATTCCACACTATCACTCCACGCCCACCCGAAAATATGCTGACGTCTACTAAAGTCGCTCGGCGCTCCCGAACAGCGATTAGGTCAGGTTTGATGAAAGACGTCGACGTAGGTGCTCTCAAATCCTCGAGGAAAGTGGATCCCAGTCGACGGAGACGTTTCGCGAGTTCCCTTGCAACCCAATTATGACGAGCACATCTGGCGTCATGAGTGATCCAGCTGGACTGCAAAATATGTCACAGTTTCCACGACAGAAGAGCCTCTGGCCACCAAGAACACACCGAGCGCTTCTAACTCTCGTCCTAAGCAGTTTGCATAGGTGCTGGATACCGCGAATAAATATCCGAGGAAACACTCATTCTGGAAATGCAAGGCATCGATTCGAAAGAGGCGAAGTGACCAACTCTCGTAAACGGCGACCGTCAACGCTGTTGTGCAAACTATCGCCCCAAGCAGCCATCAGCTCTTCCTTGGTGTTTGCGCATGCTCCATGGGCTCGGATCGGAAGGCTGAGATCCCGAACAACTTTGCCACATGCGGAATCGTTGGCCACATTGCGTAGTACTCGGCACTGAGTAGAAAGGTGCTTTTCCGTACGCGTTCTCTACTGCATCGGGATTGTTGCACTCAGACTTTGGATACCAAGTCCCCCATGTTGTTTACCGCGGTGGATGTAGCTGATAGGGGTGTCCCTCGGTAAACGTAGACAACCATGAATATATTACCTGATGTTACTGTCCAACTTTTGCAGCGTGTTTTGGTGGACTTGGCTGAACAGGAGTGACCACTCGTGTGTGAGTACCGGTCAGTGCGTTCTCAGCTTACCTGTCAATCTACACAAAAATAACTTCTAAACATCTTCGTACACCAATCAGAAAATATGATTGCTTGGCCCGACTGGTTCTTCAATCACTCACCAATATTTCTTCCCGTCTTGGATCGGGAGTTTCACATAAATTTGCAAAACACTCAGGTGCCTAAGTGGGGATCGAATTCGCGTCTATCTTGTTTCTAACCAGCGCACCGGTTGAAGACAACACGGGTCTGCAACAGTGACCACACCAACTATCCGAATGTCAGCGTACGACATAAAGCTATTGTAACCTGACTTCCAGTTTGGTCTCTCTAACTTACCAGTCGCGCAATTCATAGATCACATCATGTTGAACACATGGAGGTACGGTCAAAGCTATTTTGCCCCATTTGTAGTTAAATCAGTTTTCCGTTGATTATCCTCGGCCACAGAAACGTCGAATTACATCACATAATTCACATCGCTTTTTGCTTGTAGACGAACCAACAAACGACCATAAATCCGGTCTTGACTATATTAAACAGTCGGTCTTCGAAGAGCTTCCAAATTCTCCGTCCAACTGCCCACTTGATTCCTGTTTTTTCCAGGCCAAGTATTGGATCTATGACCATCTTGAAGATGGGTTAACGGATGACTGCCGGAAGTTTTTTCATGCTGATCAACTGGGAGCGTTGTCATATTACGCTGGAACCTACAGAAGATGAAGGACGATGCCTGTACCTCGATGATAAACAAGTCGTTGGTGTCCACCATGGCACTTTGGTCCGTTCGACGGAGTCTTCATCGGTCTCACGAGCATGCTTATAGCACCAGATTTACCTCCACCAAACTGTCTGCGCCTCTGCTACTGTGCGCAGGTGTCCACTGCTGGAAGGTCAACTCACTTCGAATACCAGCCTAATTTGCATCGCAGTCGGACTTGACCACATTTCATGATATTGCCACTGCCCTTTTCGCTGCGGTCTTTCGCCCACAGACCGTAAATTGTAAATACATTGTTTTGTATACAATCGGGAAGCCTATCAAGGTAATATGTTATGCGGTGACCTCTAAACTTTAATCCTATATACATTAGTAATGAAATACCTGATTTAAATTATTCTGCTGTCAAAACTAAGGGAATTCGTTTGGTTACCTAGAAGTTAGACAAAATCTTTTCACGCGAAAAGACTGAAGAAACTAGGACTGTCTTTTTGCTGTTTGGATGGGGTGCACCTCTGGAAAAGAGGGCTATTTTATTCCCTGAAGACAAATGTCTTGAAACAACCGGTATCTAGTTACAAGCTCAGCACCGTTATCCTGGTACACACTACTGTTCATCCCACAAATTCGTACCGGTGCGCACAGCGTGCCATGGGTGGGGACACATGGGTTTGAATTTCTTCCATCAATCGAATTGTGACGTGTCACAGGAGAGGGCCAGAACCGCTAAGTGGCACTGGGTCACGTGAGCACGACGTCCGCACGTCCCAATCGATTGTGGGTGTCCGTGACAGGCCGGCCTTACGGGTGCAAACGTGCCAAGGGCTGGACAGTTCAAATTGCTGCAGTTGATCCAGCCAGAGCTATCTGTTCTAAGTGTATTCTGGACGGGCGCTACAAAGGAACTTGGAAAGATTCTCATGGTAAGTAACTGTTGTTATGAGGCGCAAAATATTGTTAAAAAATCGTTTTTACCACACCCCGAATTTAAGCCGGAAAGCTCAGATTACAAAGATTCTCACTGGGGCAGCTGTTCACTGAACTTCGCGCTTTATTTTAATCAATCAGGATAGAATTACTAAAACGTTATGACGTGTGCTGAAAGGGCTGATTCCGGATACGTTTTAAAAAACTAATACATTTCGTCATATGTGGTTTTCTTTATGACCCACCAATGAGATGTGATGTTCTTGAATAGATATGTTCTGTTCACGAATGCTCTCTTCAGCGTCCACGACTCAGAAAGCTTTTGTCGTGATATGAACACCCTGACATTGGACCGTGTGCGATTCTGAACGAAGCTGAAGCATGTTTACGATAGCCTCCTCAATCGAGGCTAATAACTGTTCAACTGTAGTGCCCTTCCGGTGCCGAGTTGTCATGCCACGAGGGCTGAGATAATGCCAAGCTGCCCAAACCTAGATAGAATTGATCTAGATACCGAGGTTGTGTTCGAACCTCAGACCTTCTATTCAGTATGTTCGCGCCTTGCCCACTGCGCTCTCTGAAGCTCAAAGACAGGACAGACTTTACATGAAAGCCATGATCGGTTCGCAAAATACTCCCTTCAGTTAAAGGTCGTCTGTCAAAAGTCTGATTTGCATGAGAATCCAGAACACGACCTCGCAGTTCGAACCTTCTAGAACTATACACATTGGGGGAGAATAAAGTAAGGGTGATTGAAGCTAATCTTGGACATGCAGCCATGAACCCCTTCAAGATTACCTCTACAGTTCTCTTATTTCGTAACAAGCCTCCATTAAAAGTAACAAAATTGTAACACTTCCTCGGCAAATTTATCCACGCTATTTGGTAAACTGGACTTTTTTTTATCTTCTTTCAGCATCCCCAGGACGTACACAAATCGTCATTTGAAACGAGGAATGAACCATTAGACCTAACGGTAAGATTGGCTCCCCCCACTGTGACTTCCACCAGCAGACAGTTATTCGTGAGGAGGAAGGAATACAAACACTTTATGGCTCTGCTGATTCGTTAACCGTGAACGAGGTTGCAGAAACTTCAAGGACTGCGAAGCGTAGACCCACTCCAAACGAGTTGGAATTTGGGGTAATTTTTTTCAAATCCCGTCTAGAGGCAGATTAGCGATTTGAACTGTCCATTACTTGATGTTTCCCTCGGTTGTTCCGTCTGGACATTTCATAACTGAGTTTGCCTTACCGCATTTAGTATGATTTATTCACAAGGTGCAGCGTTTGGATTCCTGACTACTTTCCAAAGTTGATCAAATGACACACCTAACCATCCCTATACCTGTGGTAAGTTTGTCTGTGTGTGGAACGGTCGCCTTCGAGTGATATCATTGATAGAAAACTTCTAGGTGATACTTCATTTGGGCAACACTTCCAGAAGGATGTCACTGTGTCAATGTGTTGGTAGCTAGTGCGCTTACTGGTGGTTGATCAGGTGTCCATTGGTCCATTTGCCGAGCATGGCAGCTCGCAAACGTCCCCTCACCGGTCGAGGAGACGACATCAGTGGAGTGCAAGGAGGGAGATGATCACTCTCTATTAGTCAATGTAGAGGTGGGCACACAACTTAGCGACCGTGAACTGGTGGTTCCGAACATATTGTGAACGGGTTAGCAAAACTTATCACAACTGTGGTAGCTGTTCAACGATGAGGATCACGAGACGATCCGAAGTTGATCGCACGCTAAAACTATATGGCTCAGAAACTATGTTAATCTGTCCTAATATTAGGAAGTGCAGTTCTGTCTACCAACTAATGTCAAAGCAAATAACTAGCCAAGTTGTGTTTCTGATTGGCTGATCGACAATTTACGGTCTTCTGCGCTGTCCACATATACCGATCGATCGTCAAGTTAACCTGCATGGTCGGACCACTTTTGAGTTGTAACTAATTACCGACATCGTTGGACGTTGTCTTTCTAGTCAACGTTAAATTCTAAACTACGCTCATCGTGTTAAGCCACACTGTATCCCAGCTGAGCAAACCATCTGTGCGCGCCCGCTTTGCGCTTACACTTGCTGACAAATGAAAGCAAAGCGTGTAGGTGATATGTTATGACCAATGAAAAGCGGACAGACGGATCGATATCAACAGCGCACCCAACGGAATTTCGGTCGCCGATCGGTCACTCGATAATCATTTCACATCTCGGACTCAGCTATGAAATCAGCTGAATCCCAAGCTCATCGGTTCATGGTCGAAATTACGGCGACCTCCAGTTCAGTTTCAGCTTAACTGGTATTAGATATCCTGATCATAAATAAAACCGTTGGTGATGTGTTGGAATATTGGCAGCTCGGGTGCACTCATTTGTAATTGATCAGATGGCTGCTGATCTGTTCTCCGAGTCTGGCAACTGATTTGCAGACATTTCATCAGCGGTGCACCCGACAGCGCACTTACGGTGTATCCTCGAATGGCGATGAGATTTCTGCAAATCAGTTGCAACGCGCGGAAAACAGATCAACTGCCACCCGATCAATTACCAACAAATAAAACTGTGTTTGGATCATACTAAATTGGTAGTTTGAGAACGAAAAATAGCATAAAGTCTGGACTGTACGCATTGGATCTCAAATAAAGGAAACGGCAGCGTTTGCAGTCGGATTCACCACTCACAAACCTTCAGCGTTTGCAGTCGGATTCACCACTCACACCACTCACCTGTCTAGTAAGTAGTAAGTTTATACACTCAGTGGCGCTTTCTATTTTCACCTGAAAAGTTCGCATCATACATCGGTATTTTCGGACAAGCTACTGGAAACTTATTTGTTCAAATGTTTTATTCCACCCATCCATCCCAGGAATAAAAAATCAAGGTGACAAACAGACTGCTTTCTTGATAGGCATTTTTGAACTTTAGCGGTGTTTGACCGTCATCCATTCACGCTGCTCTCCAGGCCTACCTAACGTGTGATACCGTGTTGGAAATTTGCAAGGGTGGATCAACATTCAAAGTTCACCTGCCTTTCACGACTGTATGCACATAGGTAACACCAGACAGCGTGCCTACTTTTACAAAAACGTGCGACTCTTACGTTTGGTTCGACCAATTTGAATCATCCTACCTGATTGCGCTATATAGTTCACTGTTCTTGCAGGCTAGTGATAGGGCGATAAAAGTGATAAGGCGAAAAAGTCCACAGTAACACGATTTGGAATGGTCGACCGAGGGACAAGAGAGGTGTCAATGACTTCAGATTTCTGGCTTGGCACAGGTGTGGAAACCCCCTCCGGAACTATTGTTAAGTTGTGTACATGAACGTTGAGCAGATTTTGCACACAGTTTGGCGAGTGTTTTGCGCTACACGTACTACACATCAGCTGGATTGGGAATATATTGCCACTACGCTGGACAGGCATCAACCAGTTTGCTCACGCACTTTTGGGATTACTTCTAGATCATCTAACGCATGTTTTTGACCAAATATGAGGTCATTCAACAGCGAGGCGAAGGATACGCAAAATGAGTGTCGCCGTACGACAGGCCCTCACAAGCTAAAGTTGGTGCAACAGCTTTAGAACACGTCGGGTGCGCAGTATTACCTGGTGAACCTGAGTTCATGTGACTGGTCTGGTGTGGATAATATGAAACAGGTATGAATCCATCTGTATGCCTGTGTCTGCGTTGTAGTTAACCTGCATATGCCTACATCTCTCGGCGGAAGCAAATACGTATCCTTTCAGAGAGGGTTGGTAAACAATCGGTGGATTTACTGCTAGGCAACGTTTCGCTTTTGACACAAAGTCTTCGTCAGGCTAAGTGGGTAAATTACCAGGTTGATTGGGTTTTAAGGCAGTCAGAGAGCCAATCAGTGGAAATTCTTATGACTAGCCGACTTGATCAGTGCTGAGTATCCGTCTGAAGTTCCTATAGTGGTATCCATTACCATACTACCAGTATGACAGAGTTGCACTGCCGATATATAATGGTCCTTGTATAAGAGAATCTCAGAGAAGCCCAAAAAAGTCTGGTGTACTGGAGGTGTACCGGGGAACAAGAAGTATGACACTTGTGAATGTCATGCACAACGCTTTGGTCGTGTTGTAGAGCAAGTCACTACAGAAAAGTAAGCTTAGTACCGCAGTGCGTTAAAAGGCACGAATAAAACTCTTTCCTTACAAAAAAGAATTTTGTATGCGATAAAAAGAGACAAGAAATTGAATCTTTGAGACTCCAAGAATAGAAACTTCCCAGGAAAACGTGTGGTCAGTCAGATGAAGAGAGATACTTATCATCATCATCATCATCACCATCATCATCATCAACATCATCATCATCATCATCCGAATCATCATCATCATCACCATCATCAACCACTGACAACCAGTGTTTAACACAAAAGCTTCGCTGCCGTACAAAAACCTTATTGTGAAGAAAAGAATAAAGGTAGATGGGGAAGAGACTGTCTTACTACAATCATTCTGATGTGCCTACACCTCCAAATACTCATTCAGGCAATCTGGATAGAGACTGACAACGAGATCGCCACTGACATAGGTTGGCAGTCATATCTTATAGCGTCTCCAACCGGGCACTGTGAAGATCACCCGGTCTCCATCCTCGAAGGCGAGTAGCACCGACGATACCCAAACGTTTCGTCCTTTATGTTCAGGCACACATCCACAATGTGTGAACCGAAGTAACGACACTTGAGAGTATTGTCATGGACTCTGTGTAGGACCAGAACTGCCTCAGCTGATTCTGGTTCCTGATCCTCACAACCAATGTGTGTTTTCGACGGTTTCTTGGCAGTATAACAAAAGCTGTAAAGTGCAGTTTACCTTTAACAGAATAGTAGGCAGACTAGGCCACATGGTGCAATTATATGTCTACTTTGTTCCATGCGATCACTCATGAGGTTGTTTACTAAAGACGAACGGAACCTTGGGTTTAATCATCATGAACGGTAGTTACTAATGAGTTAAAATTGTGAGTAGCGGTTTTGACAGACTCATACGTTACTGGCCGAAACGAACCTGCGAAAAATTGGAAATTGTGTCTGGTACATGTGCAGAGGTAGGACTAGGTCAATTTTCCTCACCCTTATCCATTCGTCCCTGCTTTAGCTGTTTGTCCGCCGCCTAACACAAGATCAACTCGATCATCGACTGCCTATCACGCAACAACCTCGTTCCATACTGAGCCAAATTGAGCACGCTTGTCGCCGTGAATTCCCTCAGTTCGACTCAAAACAAATTCGGTTGAAAATACGGGCGCAATTGAAACTTCACCGAAGGAATATCAAAAGGTCCCAAATCAGGACGAGTCTGAATGCCTCAAAACAGTTGAAACGCAACAGACTGAGACCACTTCTACCTTTGACGCCCTTGGAAGGGCCTTCAACATCTTCAACTGGACCTCCTGTGCGACCCTGTCCAGGAATATCAGAATCCTCTGGTCAAAGTGACTTATATTCACAACAAGCCGCGAAATTCGATAAAGATTCGGCTTTACCAAATATCTTCGTAAACGCAATGCTTCCTCCTATCGCTATCTCGTCTCTGTGCAATACACTGAGTCCTGCGATGCTGTTCCCACAGTCGTTTCAGGGTAAATCCACACCTCTCCAAACAACTGAAGCTGCATATTCGATCGCTGGTCATCCTCTCTTATCAGCTATTGTGAGTAAGCTTCATTTCTAACTATTCCTCTTGTTTTCGAGATCACTGCCTTTCGAGGACTTACTGTGATTACCCCATTCCGCTTGATGTGTTTGAGACTAGTGACACTAATATCAGCTTGCAGATGCTCAGTATTCGCACAATGAGATGCAACTTTCGCGATTTAACCCTGATGAACGAAAAGAGACTGGCAACTGAGTTCGGAGTACGTGTCCGAACTTTTGAGCCCCATTTAGGCATCCGGAGGTCTCAACAGTGCTAGACCAGACCACCAGACCTTCTCCACCAGGGGTATGATTGCTTCAATGGACAATCAAATTTGGTCACCTGCGAAAATATGAAATTAGATTAGGATAATTTTTGGTGTGAGCACAAACAAATTACAACATCTTGGGTCAAAATTTTTTATTCTACTCGCAAAGGTTTTGCAGTTAAGAGCATTTCGCGGCCAATGGGCCCCCAGCTTGCGCCCTTTTAGCGGAGATTTATCGTAGTGTGCGGAAATCAGGAGAAGTGTGGCTACATACATGAATGTTTACTGGACAAGGTGAAGTCTGTGGTGCGAACGGCCCAAGTAGGACATGGTCCAATCATATTGACGTGGCCTTGTACGCGCAGCGAGTTGCTCACAGGTGATTGGTCGGTGCGACGTCGCAGCGCTGGGCTTTCTCACAGGGTTTACGGTGCTAATGACAGCCTACTGCGCGGCGGATACGCAAAGCTGTAGGGAAGATCTCCGTCTATGGCCCTTTGGGCTGATGGGATTTCCCACACATCATAGCGATACAACCTGCTCCTGAAAGGTCTCGACAACTGACGTGCCAGGGGAAAAAGACCGGCTTGGCAGCCAGCCCTTTTCCAGACCTGGTGGTGAAATTTCACAAACTGCGACAAACCCCAGGAATGTTGGAATTAAGCTCCCAACATATAATGGATTTTTCTAACGAACTTAATATATCTGCAGAACTCATCTACGGTGCCCAGAAGTTAAAATGGCGTGATTTCCTGAGCAGACGTGCAACCAGGTGCCAAGATCCCATTTTAAACAATCGAATTTAGCGACTTCCATCTATTAGTACTCGGTAATTAAAAGGAATAGTATTCGGAAGCACTGAGTCCCTCATTTCAAGCTGTTGTTTGTCTGGACGTTAGACATGAAAACGAAGCAAAATGAACACTTGAAAAAGCTGCACCTCGATGATTGATCAAGTGGGCACTGACCTGCCCACCAAGCTTGGAAACTAGCTTGCAGACGTTTCGTTGTCAATCGAGATAACACTATCAGATTGAAGTTTCACGCCAATTTTAAACACAAAAAAGTTTCAGTTGTAAAACCCTTTCGCTGTCTAGCTGCCATGCTACCTGAAGGAAGCAGAGATACTATCAGGTTGCGCAAACCTAGACAGGAGCAGTCGAGATGCCGGGATCGGTTTCGAACAACGGATCCTCTGGTCAGTAAGTTGCCGGCCCAACCACTGAGTCCTCACGAGCTCTCCTGAGAGTGAAACACAAGGTTATTTGGCTCTTTATTCTGTGTTTTGTTTTCCCAGATCTCAGGCGTACAAACAGGCTCATTTCCTCCACCCAACACACCAACAAATCAGAACACAAAACCTGTCGATTCGCCGGATCTATACACTCCTGGCATGCTAGATTTGAGCTCCAATAAATTGAAGGCTGACCCTGCTGTGGCAGGAAATTCCGATTCGGTAACAACAGCCGCGTCTGATTTAATCATGCCGTTTCCCTCAGTGACACCGGTAAGCCACTGCGATCGATTTTCATCTGCTTTCTGAGTGAGCGTTATTGTAAACCTGGTTTTGATTTTTTTCACCTCTCCTAGTTCTGCATGACTCCAGTAAAACAAACTTAACACAAACATTTAAGTCTTCGTGCATTTCAAACAGATATTTGTCTCTTCAACGGGGATGGGTCCTTCCAATCCACAGGAACGCATTCAAGCGATTAATTCGCCACTAAGTCTGTGGCGAAAGACTCGTGAACGTCATTGATCAACTGTTTACTCGTTCACAACGCACCCGGTTGCACACATCGTCTCCACGTGATATTGATTCAGGTCATCGACAATATCAAAACTTGGCAGAACTCTCCTGTTTGTATTGGGGTCACGTGGAATCGCCACAGTGTCCTTTCGTTTCCGAAGATAAACAAACAAAAATTCATAGACTGAGGTGCACAGCTCGGGAGTGACTAGACTCGATAATTCGATAGAAACCGAACCACTGAACTCATTCGGTTGGAATGCGAGTAGTATATGACAGAGCAGGTTAACATCCCCCCTCCAAGAAAAGCGACAAACATGGAAGTGTTCTGTGTGGTATGGAAAAAGTTAAATGAGACCCCTGTTGTTAACCTCGTCAGTGCTATCTATCCCTTTCCCAGAAACACTCCCAAAGAAGAGCCTTAGTCATTTTCAGTAAAGTCGTTGGCTTCAGTGAAGATGGGAAAGCCAAAACAACATGGAAGAACATCGAGTGACCTCGTTACCTGTCACCTGATGTGGACTCCCCTATCAACATTGGCTAGACGCTTGTGTATACGGTGCTTCCCGACTCCTCAGTATATTGAATTACTTTACTTAGGAAACGAAATGGCCAGTAGACATATACCCTGCTTGTCGAAAAACCGCACACCGGTAGCTAGGCACTGGTATGTTTTTTTGGGTTGCGTTGAACGTTAATGCGGGTATTGAATGCGTTCGATAGAGGCCTGTCACTATATTGTCATCCTTGATGACGTAAACTTTTGACAAGACAGGTTTAGTTAATGCCACCTTCGCAACCAGCCGTGTTATTTTGCTTTCCCGTGTGACAAATGCTTGTATGTGAGATGAAGAAAGCTCTTCGATGTGAAACCATTTACTAGCAAACACGGACTAAGCAGTTACAAGTCAATAGGCAGGAAAGTGAACAACTCATTTGCACATAGTCTTTAAAAGCTAAACATTCTCACGTGTCCTCTTGAACTTCGCTGAATATTCATTGACTATGCAATGCAAAGCAGTTTCACAATCTCCGAAATAAACTTCACCTTCCGTCAGATGCTGGGTGGAGCTAGGCCACTAGTCATAGACTACTTGAATGGTTTATCAGTAGTATCCATCGTTACGCCCGTAAATCAGCTGCAGAGTCATCAACATTATCCTGCCTCCGTCATATTCATCCTTCTTCTGTACTACGAACTATATCAAAACTTGGCAGAACTCTCCTGTTTGTATTGGGGTCACGTGGAATCGCCACAGTGTCCTTTCGTTTCCGAAGATAAACAAACAAAAATTCATAGACTGAGGTGTACAGCTCGGGGGTGACTAGACTCGATAATTCGATAGAAACCGAACCACTGAACTCATTCGGTTGGAATGTGAGTAGTATATGACAGAGCAGGTTAACATCCCCCCTCCAAGAAAAGCGACAAACATGGAAGTGTTCTGTGTGGTATGGAAAAAGTTAAATGAGACCCCTGTTGTTAACCTCGTCAGTGCTATCTATCCCTTTCCCAGAAACACTCCCAAAGAAGAGCCTCAGTCATTTTCAGTAAAGTCGTTGGCTTCAGTGAAGATGGGAAAGCCAAAACAACATGGAAGAACATCGAGTGATCTCGTTACCTGTCACCTGATGTGGACTCCCCTATCAACATTGGCTAGACGCTTGTGTATACGGTGCTTCCCGACTCCTCAGTATATTGAATTACTTTACTTAGGAAACGAAATGGCCAGTAGACATATACCCTGCTTGTCGAAAAACCGCACACCGGTAGCTAGGCACTGGTATGTTTTTTTGGGTTGCGTTGAACGTTAATGCGGGTATTGAATGCGTTCGATAGAGGCCTGTCACTATATTGTCATCCTTGATGACGTAAACTTTTGACAAGACAGGTTTAGTTAATGCCACCTTCGCAACCAGCCGTGTTATTTTGCTTTCCCGTGTGACAAATGCTTGTATGTGAGATGAAGAAAGCTCTTCGATGTGAAACCATTTACTAGCAAACACGGACTAAGCAGTTACAAGTCAATAGGCAGGAAAGTGAACAACTCATTTGCACATAGTCTTTAAAGGCTAAACATTCTCACGTGTCCTCTTGAACTTCGCTGAATATTCATTGACTATGCAATGCAAAGCAGTTTCACAATCTCCGAAATAAACTTCACCTTCCGTCAGATGCTGGGTGGAGCTAGGCCACTAGTCATAGACTACTTGAATGGTTTATCAGTAGTATCCATCGTTACGCCCGTAAATCAGCTGCAGAGTCATCAACATTATCCTGCCTCCGTCATATTCATCCTTCTTCTGTACTACGAACTGAGCTCAGAATTAGTGTTATATCTGACTGTTGTTCCCGCTCAAGTGCCTTAGCGCCGGAAAAGTCTCACTGACAAAGAACACAACAGATTTATTGCAACAAGCGAGTACGCGCGAGTGCAAAAGTTACAACGGCTATTGAAAGGAAACTTTTCGATCCAGGTTGTCTGGCAGGCGTTTAGATAACACCCACCAACATCGACCATGCTTCTTTGAAATGCCTGAACACTGATCGCAGCCAGTCGTGCTTCTGTGGTGTGCCTGAACATGCATCAGCTTTTGCTGAATCGATTGATTGATTGACTGGTCTGGATCCTCGCCAGCTTCCCTATTGAGATTTTGATGGTGTTTTGGAATCTCAGTAGGTTCCGAGCGTTCTGAGGCTATTTTAAGGAATCTGACCTTCCCGACAAGTGGAAACTCAGACCAGTCTCTCTGATGAGCTGACTGAAGGAAGGGCATCCTTGCGAGGTCCTCAAACCCTAGGTTGTCTTCTGTAGTCAATCGTCCAATAAAGTGGACTATCTGTTGTGGTTTCGTACGCTCATTCTTCCACACCATAGTTCCAATTTGCCCGTTTCTTTGGACATCATCCAGCTACCCACGACGGCCACCTCTCATCTCGCTGGTATCCACACTAATACGCAAGTATGGTTGGTTCGCAACGTGACCTTGTAACTGAATTAATCCCGCGCACTCACTAACACAGTGTTCAATGTTCTCCGTGCGCGTGCTACTGTCCTTTTATTTGCATACATTACGACAGTAACCATCAAATTCATAGTTCAGTTGTTTTCACTCCTTAACAGGAAAGCTGGTTCCACAGACTGGGTAAAATATATATCAACAGCATCATTTGTCGTTGGCTAAAATAAGCAGTCGCTTGACCAACCTATCCGGTTTGATCACAAAGCTGTTCTAGATTTCTCTGTATTCTGACTTACGCTTGGAGCAGGAGGGGGAAAGAGAGTTTACAATGTATCGACTTTTTGTCTTGTATTGAGATGACCTCAAATCAAAAGGTGCAGGTAGACAAGATGGCTAGAATTCTCAGGTTGTAACTGAGTGCTGATAGGCACAAAAAGACTCTTAGGCGTCTTTCTGTGGCATCGTATCTGCGTATCTGTGGTGTGCATCCAAGCGTGATCTGCGTGTTGTTGGTAACCTATAATGGGTTCAAAGGCTATATAGTCAAATGCGGCTGTAGCCAAGGGTCCTTACGGCATCTGGAATCCCTTCAGGACAGAGTAAAATTTGTCGTTACAGAACATTTTTGGCAGATCGTTGAAGATCCAGACGCCAAATGAGAAGCATCATGACCAAGTTGGACTCCCCCTAGAGTTGCGATGCCATATCGTGTTGGCTGGTCGAGTGGACTTGTTTCAGTAGGCATCAATGACAGCACAACAGCATCAAGCTTTCAGTGTGCCAGTGCCTTGAAGGATAGGTCCAGACGACACCGTCTCCACTCTCTGAATGAATTATTTGGTCAGCGCCATGGGTATACCAACGGATGACGTTCTGGCACATTATTTTGGCCAATGATTTATGCTGACCCTACCAAAATCACCAGTCCTCAGTATGATTCATCACTGAGGTCTGAACTAGATGTATGAATAGCTTCCGCCTCTGCTAATTCACTGTGTTTGTATGACGAGGGTGCTCCGAGATTACCCCGTATGGTAGACAGCAATCAAGATTCTGACACATTTCTTCCATTTTTGAAAAAACTGAGCTCTCTCTTTCAAAAAGGAGCAGCGTCCTCGTGAGAGGGAAAGATTACAAAGACCGTATTGAATGCTTTATCTGTGGATATTACGGAGTTTCAGTTCTTTTTACGTTTCTCGTGCATCGTTTTGAGCATTCAGTGGGAAATCACCGTTTGTCCAGGGATTTTCACCTTAATGAGTATACGCGTTTGAGAAAACTTAAGATGGTGTGGTGATATGAGAATGACAAAGTATCAGGAGGAAATATATTAGTCCAACAACGTGACTCTGATATCACTTAAAACCTTGACAGATATCGATTTACCGTGCACTGGATCATCCATCGTCCTTGTCCGACTAACAATACTCCATGTTTCAGTCGCGCACGTTCAAGAAAAGTGATTTCTATTCAACCTCGATAATCTTTTGATCAAACTGATTAGAATTCAGTCAACAAGGAGAGGATATTTTTGTGACATCAATCACTTCCAGCTTGCTGTTTTTTCTTGGAGAGAAAATCGATCCATTGGAGAACAGAAGAGCCTCTTAATTTCCGTTCCGGTAGGATTGTTTACTTTGCGAGAAAATTTGACGGAGAAGCACCTCCTAGACGCTTGGGTTACTTCCTAGAAAAAAATCCTTATCGGAAGAAGATGTCCGTCGTCATGAGGTGAACATAACGTTCCAAGAATCATATCACCCTGAATTGCTGACCTTTGGATTACGCGATCCTTGGTTGCACGACCTTCGGATTCATTTTTGGTTTCACCAGATTAAACCAATTCTTTAAACTCATTCACCAAAAGACCTAACGATCTCTTTCTATCAGGAAGGTCAAATTCCTAAGGCAACCACCGAGTGCCCGAAATCTACTGAGACTCTGCTCCACTAGATGTTGACCAGACAGACAACGCCCACTCAATATGCAGCGCTTCACGGCCTTGTATCAAACCCACGCAGCGCAAGTCAGCGTGGATCAAGGTCAGACAACGCCCCCGCAATATGCAGCGCGTCGCAGCCTCGTACCAAAAGCCAGACCGTGTGCGTCAGCATTGGTGCAAGTCAGGCAGTGTCCTTGCAATAAATAGCTTGAGCACGTACTACGCTCTCGCGCTCGCTTGTTCGGAATATAGCTGTTGTGTTCCCTTCTGTGAGTCTTTTTTCCGGCACTAGGCACTGGAGCGGGTCAGGAGCCAGACACAACAGATTGGCGAATCAGCAGACATGACACTTTCAGATGCATGCATTTTCACCGATTATTGTCATTTATCCTGCAAATCACAGCTTAACTTGGCCACCAGCACCGGTATGGCTGCTTCATTCACCATTTTCAATCTTCCAGCACCATTATTCTCACTCATTTTCAGAATATTTCAGGACCAGCGACTGACGGGACAGTAAGTCATCCACAAGTTTTGGCAGCTTCGTTGAGGTTCAATGCCCGTCTGCTCATGCAAAGTGCTCAATTATTTGAACTGTTTGGAAGAACCGCGGCTGCATCCAGTTTACTCACAACTCATCGAAATACGGAATGTGAGTAGATGTTCACTCGATTGGAGTCGCGGACAGAAGCCATCTTTTTATTTCGGAACAATGAGCATTTATCCCACCATGTTTGGTATTCTTACTTGACATTGTTCAGCTTTTTCTCGTTTATAAATATGATATACAAGCTCTAAAATACAGGTTTTTGTACGCAGACAGTAACCCCCCCTATCAGGATAACATATCCCGGAAAGAGGTCACTTGAAGGGGCCCGTGAGTTGCGTTCTCCCCCCCCCCCGGTTTACTGTAAGATCTCTTGAACCCAGAGAGAAGCCGTTCAAAGACCCATTTATCGGGTTGTCATCTCTCAGGAAGCACTGTATATCGTGTGTACAGAATCCACGCTGTACTCTGCTCTACATTTCCAAAACCGCAATTTACGCTCTATCAATCAACGACGTCGCCCGAGAAATCGGGAAATGAACTGCCACAATCTCGGTAAACTCAGAGTAAACAAACCTACAGTGCAGCTCTAGTTGACATATACTGCTCATTTCCAAATTTCAACCAATACACTTTTCCGTCTTCAAAGTTTAAACAACCAGTCGGTATCAGTCTATCAGTTTTCGAGAATCTAAGGTTGAGCAGTACATCTCAATTTTTCGCTTTCACTACTCACGAAATAAATGCGTTAGGTAACTGCAAAATATCCAGACAGGTCGTCTTCGCAATTAGTTCAAAGAAAACGGAACAGCTTGGGTGATACCCCTAACAGCCTGACTTTCTACCCATCAAGGGTGGACTTTGCCGATGCATTAATCCAGATAGCTGCTCGGACATGTTCAGCCCACTGAAATTCTACTTGAAGCACAGAACAACGGCACTCCCGCGGCGGTTTCGCTATGTAAAACTTCCTCACCGTATGCAGAGTACATCCGTGTGATGCCTGTCTGGTAGGGACGCATTTTAGTACCTGGTGTCCAGTGCTCAATTTAGCAAACCTGTTTTTAATACGTACAGAGTGCAAAAATGGAGACGATGCGTTGGCTGGGTGAACTGTCGTTTTGATGACCCTCGTTCAACACCGTTTGCAATCTCCCCACGGCAACGAAGTACGAAAACACTTACCAACAAACTTAGTCGGGTCGACAACTGCCGCCTCCCTGGATGGGAACCCGGGACTCAAATCACCAGTGGTTAATGACATTGGAGGAAATGGCCCAATCGCGTAGTCAACAGCGCTCGTGCATCAAAGCTATTGCCTTCAATACGCAGCTACCTATGTTCCGAACAAGCTGAACATGCCTTCGCCTCTATGGCTTGGTTGTTGGTTCCACTTTCCTGTTTTCCGGTGATCGAACCTGTAGCAGCTGGAACAAGTGTGCCTATGGCACACAGTTCATAGCTGATAAATTGATTGATCGATTGAGTGATTGCAATATTTCTATCCTGACAATCTGTTCAAATGCTGTTTTAGAAAATAATGATGGGAAAGACACCATTTTGAGCTGCCTGTTGCAGTCGAGCAAAGGGATTTTCTTGGCATCCTGTCCTGGTGCTCACAAAAAGCGATCGATGGTTGTTTCGGATGACACGCTCACAATATGCGCTGCACTTTTATGCAGTCTGATAAAGTTATCTAATTTGATCAGTCACTTGACACCTACGCATTTATGCAATTTCTTACTGTGAAGTTCGAAAACTATGATCTCCATCTCTGGCCTATCTACATCGCGTCAGAGTGAGCTATAGTCACCAGGGTCTTTGGTGATCAAATCAATCATTAGTTCTTGATGGAACACACTACTCATATAGTTGCTGAAAACTCTTTGATAGCTAGCTGTGGGCTTTACCATTCTCAGCACTCATCAGTAAGTTTCATTCTAAGTGAAAACAAAATTGTGTATAGCCGTCGAAGAATGCTCATTTGATTCACTTGATTCCCTGGTTAACACCAGAGTAATTTCAGATGAGTGTACTTCGTTAGTCACGAGTAATTTCGTATCCAGGTAGAGCGCCAGGTTGACGGAAACCTTAGCGAATACACCTACCGGATGATCCCAAATAGCAAGAGCGAAATCGTCGTGGGTTATCGGTGCGATTTCAGCAACCTTATAAGTAGTTTCCTGCATCAGAATATACAGCGATATCTCGAATATCGTACCCACTGAAACATGAGACGGCCTTTGTGCAGTGTGCAGAATAGTGTAAACGAGGAACTTATCCTCTTAAAGTCATTTTGTTATATAAGTGGGTGTATATTGCGGAGAGGCTTGACTCATTCAAGTGATTGAGCTTTTTGCATTACTTGTGCCGACTACACACCGGATGCAGAACTGCACGTTTTCAAAAACAAATTTTAAAAGGCAGAGCAAATTAAAGCACCAATCTGCACAAGTTACAGTGATCAAGATTTACAAAGTTGCCGAATAAGCTTCAAAAGGTATTAAAATACGCCGTCCAGTTAGAATACCTGTCTTGAGATTTCGGCTTTCTTGAAAAGTACAGTTTGTTTCACCTTACTCAAACAGAGCCCGTGAACTAATTGGTAGGGACCGCGTAAAATCCACGTCGTCGGCACACCAACACCAGAAACACTCCGACGACAATCACTGCAGCAGCAAAGATCGCGAGGATGCTTCCGAGGATAACGTTGACTTGTCTAAGCCACTTGCTGTCCTTGTTGAAATCCGGTAGTCCGATTGCACCACTTCTCGTCCACGTGCCATCCACGCGTTCCAGTGTTTCCCCCTTGGAACCAGCCATTGAAGAAGGCGGGTCTAGTAGAGAGTCTGGTGCCCAGGCAGAACCCGCTGAGGAGTAGAGTGTGGGCTGAAAAGTACAAAAAAAAACATAATTTGTGGTGGAAACATCACGGCTGGTTCGACAAAGCTTGAATTTGATCTAAATTACTGACTGAAGTATAGGCAGATGCGGTAAGTGAAAACATGTTTGTACGGGATCAGTGCAAATAACTTTGTTCTCACCAAATTCGATTGCTGTCGGTCTAGCTGTACTATTCCATTTCGTGAAACGTGTATCTGCATTGTAACTCGGTTCACTTATATTGGACCAATTCCTTAATAAGTGATATTGAATTTCTATTCTATTCAAATAAGAAACGTCAGTTTTGTCATGAAAGGCTATTTCAGAGCTGTCTCCTTTGGAAAATTTTTTACTAGGATTCGATCCAGCAGGAGTTTTCTGACAGGGCTTTGTAGTGTAGTCCAAACGGCAAAGACGTAGGCACACGAGCAACCTCGCTCTGATTGGTCATGCGTAGGCTGTTCGATCACGTGATTCCATGGGGTGACTCAGTGTGTTTTCGGAAGGAATTCTCGGTCATGAGAGCACACAGACCAGTACGAGTTAGAGAGGCATTGTCTCATTTGGTTAGTTTTTTTACTGGAAGAATCTCCCGGGGTGAGTCAGCTCTGATATGACCGGATAACCATGCACAGTTCAGCCACTCTTGTTGATTAACAATCGTCCGTTTTGGCGCAATACTCAGCTGAACCGCTATTTCCGACAAAGCGATACCAGATCATTAGTGACGCCGCTTCATTGCCTTCAGTGTTTGCGATATTCATAGAATTCGCGTTCACGTCACTGTCGTTCGCACAGTCCTCCTTCTGTCCTGGTGAAATGATTGTGGTGAGTCTACGCCAAACGGGGACAATCACTGGACCTGAGTTTCGCTCTTCAGAAGTGCATATCCTTGTCCGTACCGAAGTTTCAAACCCGGTTGTCTGTTGACGTGCAAGGTGAACGTATTACAACATCAAATCAGTAGTCTACTACATCTGTGTAATAAGCAAAACTTCGTTACTGGAACACATCCATCAAAAGTTGAAACTCACGGGGGCAACGAATGGAGGACGTTTCAGATAACGCTTTTTCTTTATTTTGATTGTGTTGGCTGGTACGCAGAAATTGACCTGTAAAGGCAAAAAAATCAATGAGTCCTCTAGCACATTAAATGATGCAGTGACAGTTTTTGAGTTAGTAGGAAATCAACGGACAGGCGGCGTCATTCAGCAACCGAGACGCTGTTTTTACTTTAAAAAACTCCATGTTTTCAAGTGTATTCAGTTGTTTTTGCAGGACACAATTTTCTGACGTCTAAATAGTAAAAATATCGTTTTTTGGGCACCAAGAGAAATATTGTGCATTGGGACCGTTGTGGACCACAGTCTCCTTGATGCTTCTTATTGCCCGTGAACCCCGGTCTGGATAGCCGATTGATAGCCTGGTGCGCTTGGCCAAACCAGAAAAGTCAATGAACGTGTGAACCGGTTGATCTATTGATCACTGTCGCGTAAAAGCGGGTCAACAAAGTGATACTAAGAATACAACTCATCTGTCAAGGACGATTGGAGAACAACCAATGAAATCTGTCTCAACAAAAACGGTTATTCTATTGGCTGTTATATAGTTCCATTACGTTCGGAGCTGGATCTCCTAATAGGAACTCTCTTAAAGTCGATAGGTTGTAGAATTCCTTGGAAAAGGGTGACTAAAGCAACGGAAATATTGGATTATAAATTTAAGAAAATCCATACTATACACCACATGGCGCTCAAGCCTTTTAACAAAATCCGAGCCGAGTTTGTCCGGGAACACCTAAAAATACTTTGTATTGGCACATTTCTGCAGGCGTACTTACTGGTTGGACAGATTACAGGTAGATCATTTTTAATAAAGAAGGGCCGAGAACGTTTACGTTTGCCCTCCTAGAGGCTAGCGTGTTGTCACTCTCCGGTTTGAATGGCCAGCTAGAGTATCTGCTGGAGTCATTTCGAGTGATTCACACACAGGTTGTTGGGCCAATCCAACCAATGGTGCCTTCCTTCGATTTGGTCGACAGATGCGTTTACCCCGCTATTCTACCAAGATCCGAGCACTGTGTTCTTGCGTGTTTTTTCCTAAATCCCCACCTTCACCTTTCAGTTCCACTCTTTACTAGGACATTCTTTCTTGGGGCAGCAATACTGACCGCTGGTACAGATAATGAGTTTTTTAATCCGTGGAGAGGTGGGATTTTTGAATTGGCGCGTTACCCTGTAAAAAGGGCATTTTAGCGAATTCAAAGGATTAGTTCAATCAGTTGGTAACCTGGAAATCTCTCTTACCTGGCAGGTGTCCTCCATGGAAGCCAAATGAGTCGTGTAGCCAGACGGGCAACGTTTTGGCCAGATAGAAGCGAACAGCGAACTGTAGTCATCCAAAGGGACCTGGTCATTTGGAATATCGAGTGAACTACGTGCCAGTTTGTTCACAGGCTCTACAACATTTAACAGTATGGTACGATTGAAAGGCTTGGTCACTGCACTCCGCTGTTTTGGATTGGTCGCGTTTTGTTCCAAATAGGACACGAGTGGGTTGCCAAACCGACAACTGTAGAAGCCGCCGAAGAGCATGGCGTGTTTCCCACTCAGTTCTCGATCGCTAGATAGGCATATCCGCATACGACGACCGACAGCCACTGGCCAACTGTATTCTGGACACGAATATTGCTGTGTCAGTGGATTAGGTTCCTTATCCGTGTAGAGACCACCAAATATAAAACCAATGTTGCCATCGGCCACTGGAGGTTCGGGAACGGTGGGATCTAGCGAACACCAGTGCAATTCTGTTGTGGCACATTCCTGTTGACAGGCAGCTCCATGCCACACTGAGCGCTCACAGTGGTTCGTGCAAGTGCGTACTTGGGGTGGAAGCAATTGGACAGATAGATAACCGGTAGGGCAAGTGAAATCCCCGGTTGCTGCATTTTTAACAGCCAACGTTTCACAAAGTTCCGCTGGTCCTTGACATTTCTGATACACGCCTCCAAGGGGAAGTCGCGCGGACTCACTTATCGTTGCAGTTTCCCCTCGACATTCGGCAGAGTCCACATTGGCATCGGCATCGTAGTAAGCAGACGAAGGATCCATGCATCCTGTGGAAAAAATAACAAAGTGAAGGTGAACTCCATCGATTGGCAGATCAGAGTCTCCCAGGACAGTGGCATCCAAATAAAATAACACAAGGGTACCATGTGCATCAGACTGACATTAGGCAACATTACTCTGGCATCTGACTATCATCTAAAAATTCCTAGTGGACACAGTATATCACTGTCGTTGGATCATTTGCTGAGCTTGAGGACTTTTCATCACCAATCGAGGTGACATCATCACTGCGTTGTTAGGGAGCGTACCCATGGGTAAGCGTTTGTGCTTGTGTTTGTGATTGTCGATGGTTGCGGTCGGCATGACCGCCGACCGATCGGTACCACACTCCGTAACAACGCACTGAAGATGTTCACCTCGAGTAGTGATGAGACGTTTGTTCAATGAACAAACCAACAACCATCTACGCTACCTGACCTATCAACATTCTCTTCTATGGCAAACAGTATGTCACACTGGAGGAATACTTTGACATCAAAATCAAATCAGCTTGACGTTTTGAATCAGCAGCTTTCAGGCTGGTGGTATGAGTAATAACTCTTTGGCCGGAACCAGGTGACAAGCAATCTGATTAACTCGCAGTTAGCGCCACCTATTCCCCCAACTGAGGGTTAACCACATCACTGGTCAATGGTGGAATGGTCTGGTATTCAAACAACCAGCCGAGAGGTCACGGGTTCGAATCTCCCTCGAAATTCTAGAAATACACACTCCTGATGTGTTAGGCGGAATTCCACACGGATCCCTCCTTACCGCTTGCACTCAGGTGCTGCCACGGCCGAGAAGTTCATCTCACGCAAGATTGGCCAAGAATTCGGGAAGCTTGCCGGTCCGGCATCAAGGCGATACCTGATTGGTCGAAAGTCTGGACCCAACAGCCAGTATTGGCCGGATGCCGGTCGCCAATGTCGCATCCAGAACGCATCAGAATTTCCAGAAAGTTATAACCACCTACGCCGTATATTTGAAGCGTTGTACAACTGTTTCTCACGTCGTTTTGGGCGCTAATATACCTTGTGCACCCTTGGTGGTTGTTTTGACGTGAACGCTAGCTTGGGAGGCTCAGACCAAGAATTAAGCTGAGAAAAATACCGCTACTACATGATGATTCACAATAAGGATAAAAGAATTGTACATTGCTTCTCCGATTTTCAGCATAGATTGATTTCACTCACAGGTGGAAATCTCAAATGAAAATTCCCGAATTCCCGCACACTACTCATTGAGAGATGTGCTAGTAGTTGCTTATGGGAAGCGAGAACGTTCATAGGCTGTTCGTGAACTATTCGTGGGATCGTGGATAAAGTAACTGCTTGAAACTTTCTCAAACCAACCTATTTGTGCATACTATACGTGACCCATAGATGGTTTCCAATGGTGTGTTAAACTCCGAGTAGAATCCCGAATAATATTCCGCCGAGATCAACTGATCACTACGACTCTAAAGTAGTATAATACGGAAGGCACACTGAAAGTTTTAAGTTATCGGTGGAAAACGCTGGTCAAACCCTCGATCTTTTGAGCCAGAATGGACAGCTGAGCTCTCAACTTGGTTTTGGCTTATATCACGATGAAGCTACTAGATGTTATAACATTGGATACATGAATTTTTGAAATGGCACTGCTGCTAAGACGTAATACACTACTCATAAGGTTGCTGAAAATTCTTCGGCAACCTATGAACAGCTTCGCCCTTCTTGGGGCTCGTCAGGTAGGCGCAGTCCCCGAGTTTCCGTCAACATTGCGTTCTACATGAAACCAAATTGCACGAAATTAGCGAAATATTTGCAAACAAATTCGGTTTTGCGAGAGACTTACTTGGAACCCAGCTGAATCTCACGTCAGTGATGTTTCAGTTGCCTGGAGGCATCATAGACGAGGGATCCAGAAGACTCTCCTGCGAACCCAAATTTGTTTGCAAATGAGGGCATTGTTGCTACTTATTGGCTTGACAGATTCAGTTGACTGTCGACAGAGGTACGGAATGCTAGCTTATTTCAAGTACAGAAGCCTCGAAGCACATAGAAGGACCAAGTTATGCACCTGTTCTAGTGCAACAGTGGATTTGCTTAAATAAACGACAAACGGTGTGTCAGCAACATCCCCACACCAAGGAGTTCTGAATCTATATTGGATCGAATTGTCTCAGCTTCTGTAGACAGTGCTGGTTGTATATCACTTCCTGAAGATTTCTGAATTGGCACACCTCAGTTTATCTAGAACTCGCCAAAAGAATCAACAGACACCAGTAAGTAGTCAGACGTAGAAAAGCAGGCGTCACTTAAACTTAAAAATATATCTAGACCTCACCGTTATCTCTCACAACGTGTTTAATCACTCGAAGCACGGGGACTTACCAATCACCGCATTCGCGGTGTAGTATCTTGTGATAGCTGATCTGATGGTCTTTGTCAATCGACCAATCATCTCTTCATCCAACTCTGGCAAGCTCCGTGAACTGATCAATTCATAGATGGGCACACCACTCCGATCGATAACGACCAATTCATCGTCTAGGCCACTTTCCCACTTGGAAAGATTTAGATCGTTGGCCTGGAAAATTGGGCCACCGTAACTAGTCACGCGACTGTGAGTGACTTTTCGACCGTAATTTGCCGCCTGAATGACCATTGTGAAACAATATCAGAGGAATTCATTGGTACGTTTCATACTTCATTCATACTAATTGGGTGCAATTTCAAAATCTGTAGAGTTCGTGTTCAAATCACTCGTTTGAGTAGTCCTGCGTTCATCCTGGAGCAGTTATTCTTGAGAGTTCATACCAAAGGTGGGGAAGCACTGGATTCGACTTTCGCTCTTATTGGAGCTCATCAGCTGTGCACACCCATGACGGTGCCGGGATTTGAATTGCGGGCATCTGACATGCGAGGCAAACGTACCTCAAATGTTCTACTGCGCGCCTGAATCATCACGTGTGAACAAGCGAGTGCGTTCTCGCTTGAACGATGTGATTGGTTGGCCGGACGATGCGAACGACGATCCGGCAGATGTCCTGGTTGTGTTGATCGATCGAAAAGCCCGTGGGGACTAGCCAATCAGGTAACGAAAAAGACGTCTCAAACCGGCTGGACAACTTTTCCTTAGTTGTAGGTGGTCGAGAATCTAAAGAATTCACATCCACATCACCCCCTGTGATATGGACTCAAGATGCTACTTGTACCAGGACAGCTGAACGACTGTTCAAACGAGAGTGATGTGGGTGAGTATTTTCCATAGCCTACAAAGCGCCTCTTTGTTAAACAGGCGAGAGAATCGATTCATTAGCAAACACATTCAGTGAAAAAGTGTTTCCAAAGGTGAAATCAAACCACTAAAGCAGAGGACAGTAAAAATTACTTAAAAGCCTTCATTTTGCAACCGGAATGTACATGGTCTAGCTTGTAGCTAGAGCGCCAAAGCGAAGCTGCTGATTCGTTCAGTGGTTATGGTGGTCTCATGCGTCCATTTCGTCCTTGTGCATCTGTCCAATCAAAACTAACGGGGGAAAATTAAACCAAGATCAGCTGACTCACGGACTTCGGCTTGACGATCGATCACTTCTGTCTATCGACACCTAATCTATGCCTGCAACAGGAAGTGTCGTGGTGGTTTTTGACTTGCTGTATTGCTAGCCAGTCTACAACCAGCAAACAGCTAAATAAGAATTAGACCATACACTCAGTAAAATGAAGTCTGCATTTTCAAAAATGGATCAGTCTTGCCATCCCACCTGTTAGTTGTCAATAGAGCGAAGACCATCTGTTCAACGTAAGTCTGTGCTAAATAGCAGAATTACGAGACGAACGATAAACGTACCACCGACTCATTACTCGTAAATGATCCGCCGATCGAAACCTTCAGCAGACTGGCAAAGGAAGCAGATGCGTGCGATGCGAGTTTTTCTCTTTCGGCCTTAGTGTACGATTGAGAGTTTTCGTCCAGTGTATCTGTTTTGACTAGAATACCCCCAGCGTCGACAGATATAAGGCTGTGGGTCCCATAGTCCCTGTACAGAAGCAGAGCAAAAAGGAGCCAGAAATGAGTGAAGATTAATGAAGGTGGGCGGCTTTAATGTCCACATTCTGTTTGCAGAAAATCTGATAACATGAACTATTTCTTAAAAACAGCATTTCTTGTTTGATAACGGAAAAAGCAGGTAAAAGTACATGTTTATGGGGATCTTTTCCAGGTAAGACCTGCCACTAACACAAAAAGTACATGTGCGGAAAATTAAGCCCTGCTAATTTTTGCCAGCTTCAATTTAATGTACGCGCACAACCTTGACCTATTTTTGATAAAAAACAATTCCTTATCCGCACCTTGGCTCATTTTGTGCTGGCATTTTCTACGTTTGGACGTAAAACCTTAAATGAACTTTCGGACGCTTTCAACTCTCGTTCATGACAAGGAGACGGCAATACGTTTTTTGCAAAGCCACGAAGTGATCCATCAGCGACGTTTATGCAACAATGGCCACCAAATAACACTTTCAACTGTTTCTGACAGGTGAAGGTATAATGCCTGACAGTGTCGGTAAGAAATCGATCTTCGGAAAGAAACTTGGCTAGAGCGGTCTCGGAAGTAGTTTAGGACAGTAATTCTACTCATTTATTGCTGGTCCGAAAATTTGGCAAAAATCAAATTCTGCTCCGAGGAACTATATATTAGCCACAAGACCGCTGTTGACTGGAAGAACTTACTTCGCGAAGTTTGCACCTGGCCGCTTTTGCAGACTCCACCAGTTATCGGTGACTCAGGTCTACACGTCGAAATCGATAAAACGCTAATATCTCGCCATCAAGATGCAGAATAATCGCCAATGCGGTACGCAACGATTTTTAGTGGACAGCTACTTGTGCGAGTTCGTTTGGAGGCAAAGGTACCGAAAAACGGACGTTTTCATGCAAATTATTAATGACATGTTCCAATTCCACCCTCTTCAATAAAAACTTAAAGTACAAATTTCACATCCTCTTTGTCCTAATCCCTTTATTGACCCCATAGAGTACGGAACTGTAGGGACACCTCACTCTTGTACGAAAGAAGGATTTCGCAAAGTTATTGAAGATCAGGTGGGCTGAAAAGCCAGGTGAGGCTGTTTCAAATTCGCCACTGTTCCAAATCATGTAACTGACGGGAATTCAAACGGTGACCCTGCCCTACTGTGAACTTCGTTCATTAGTTAGTTCATTAGTTAGGTTTATTACTCATAAGCTAATATAGGTTTGAATCAAAAGACACCCAAAGTGGTCATGCATCCCCGGCACTGGGCATGACAAAACCTAAACGTGTCCTTACTGAAAATATCATCAATACTTTTAAATGATTATCACTAATACACTCATCTACACACCACTTTGTTTTTTATTACGGGAGATTCGCCTAAAACGCAGGTCGTACTTTCGTTTGTGACGTTTTTCTTCAACTGAATGTGCTGCACCAGGCTGTTTCATACTTCAGTTGGTACGCTATTCGAGATATCGCAATATTTTGCATAAATGTAACACGCTACTCATTGGGTTGCTGAAAACACGTCGACAGTCCACAACTGGTTTCGCTCTTCTTGGGGCTCATTAGGTAGGCGAGTCCCCGGAGTTTCCGTCAACCTTATGATCTACTTGAACACAAATTGCACTGTTTTCGAGAAATACACTCATTTGCGTAGCAATTAGGTTTTGACGTGACGCTTACCTGAAACCCAGCCGAATCTCTCGTTTAGGATTTTCCTGAGCAACCGAATGTGCTGGACCAGGCCACCTCATGTTGAAGTTGGTTTAATATTCGAGATATGGCAACACATTGTACAGACATAACACACTAGTGAGAAGATTCCTCATAACTCTTCGACAGCCTACGATCGGTTGGGCCCGTCGTATCAGAAGAATCTTAAAACAGTCAGTACATTCAGTTGAAGAACATCGTAAACTAAAGGTTCACCTGGGCTCAGGGTGTATGCAGATGTGTGTATAGGTCGAATGTCGTGCAATATGGAACTGAGCCTACCTGATAGGCCCCAAGAGGGGCGAAACATGTCGTGGGCTGTCGAAGAGCTTTCAGCAACCTTGTGAGTAGTTCCCTTGACGAAAATGTACTGCAATATCTCGAATATCGTGCCAACTGAAACATGAGGCGGCCTGTATGCAGCACATTCATTTGTAGAACATCATAAACGAGAGATTCACTTGAGTCTCCCGTGAAAACCAAATTGATTTGCGTGTGTGTATATCTGTCGCAACCTGTCATTCTCTTATGTACTGGACACTCAAACCGACGTATTCACCTGATCTTACGCATACAAATATAAGTATGGGCAATCAGCTGGATCGTCCCAACTTGTTAAAGAACCCACAAATAGTGCGATTGGGCGAAACTTTCTGATCCGATAATGCGAACAGTTCTTAGGCTTGAATCGACCGATCATTTCTCGCCACACAAGTCTTAGACGAAACACAAAGTAGCGTCAATTTGGTTTTCGGTAGTTCAGTACTTCAACCAATTGTCAGAGGACTTTGTACGCAAGCATAAGACAGGTTTTTGTACAATGCTTGTTTTAGCTAGAAGACTGCAGAAATCGTACTACTGGGTCACTGATGACATACCTGACGAGTAGATCGGCCAAATGAAAGGCCGACATGGCTTCTTCGATAGCCAAAATCTCAGCCCCAGCAGATGGCATCACCCCACTTCGGCTGGTTGGCTCGATGCCTCCTTTATCAAAATCATCGATCGTCTTTATCGTAACATTTCCCCGACGTAGATGTGCTGCAATATCCAACAGGCGATTGCGGAACCGAGGATGTGGCGTAGAATCGGGCAACAGACGGACGGTGTATCGCTTGTGGCGAAGTTGTGTCCGGACGATGAGACCCTTGCTGATCGACTAAAAGATGAGTTGTAATCGTATGTCGAGATGGTCAAACAAGTAGTCACGGCATAGCAACCAACTGACATAAATCAACGCGGTCACACACACATACATGTGAAAGGAACTCAACGGAACCCACGGACTGGCATATATACCTGAGTAGAGTTTTCGAGAAAAAAACAGTCACCAAATATGAACTGGACTAAGTGCTTGTTCCTTTGTAGAGGAGTTTCAAAACAGCTCACCGAAGAGACAGCCGACGAAATAGATTTAGGCCAGTAGAAGGCGAAAGAAAGAAACACTCAGTTGTAGCACCCTTCAGGTGCCTAACTGCCACGCCACCCGAAGGTTGCACGAGAGCTGGGACACTGCCAGGTTGCCCAAGCCTAGACTGGGGAAGTCGAGAGACAGAGATCGGGTTCGAACCATGAACCTTCCGGTCAGCAAATTCGCGCTTTAACTACTTGGGCTGTCTCGCCGCTGAATGCCAGTAACATTTTACTCAAGATTTCCCGTCTTCAAAATCCCTTGTGATACCAGCGGACAGTGAAATTTCAACAATACAAATCGGTACTACTGAGGTATCAAGATGGTCAGAACTATTGATCCAGAGAGTGACGTGTGTGTGCAAACACAAGCAGTTGCTCACAGAGAACAAAAGAATTTGCCAAGTAGACCCGCCCCCAATAGACCTCCAAGAGACCCTCAGATTATGACCACTTCACTCTAGCATATTACACTAATTTGCAAATCAATTTGGTTTTGCGGGACACTCACCTGAAGCCAGCTGAATCTCTCGTTTATGATGATGGGCTGTCAAAGAATTTTCAGCAACCTCATGAGTAGTGTATTATGTCAACTTCACGCTGTTCTCGTGATATTTGGTTCTTAAGAACCCACTCCAAACTCCCAACAAAGGGATTCCCTTATTCCCGACAGGGACTGGGATTGGAAATTCGTGTTTTGGGTTCCCCTACATTCAAGCACCACGTCGGCACGTGACTACCCGCTGCGCTCACACGTTTGCGCCCAACATTCTCGAAATTTCCCAACAAAATATCTAGCTGCATGAAGGTTAAATACTCCACTTGTCTCGTGAACATAGACTCTGTCCAAAGGGATTTATTGGAGCGGAAGAGGCACACCAGAATTTCCGTCATTCACGGCTAAGGAGACGGATCAGATTTAATTTTTGTATCTCCCCCAGGATATGAAACAAGCGGTCCAACCTAACGTGAGAAATGTATCAAAGTTTGAAGACTCAACATGTTTTCTCTGTTCATAGCGGGTGATTCGAATCTCTGAGTAGGTTCAGTGGTTCTCCTGGTCCGTTATCTCACGCCAACACTACTCATTTTATATGCAGTACTTACACGGCACGACCAGTTTTATCAGAGATACATACTGTCAGAAACCAACAGCCTCATGGATTCCTGTTCGAATAGAGGTCACTTTTCCTGGAAAGTATGAGCCGCACTTACTGGTGGCAATGATCAAATTTCAAAGGTGGTGAAGTGGAGAGGTTGATGGTGTTCCGCTCAGCTACCACCAAATGTTGAAGAGCCCACCTGCGATGGTTGACGGAATTCTATCCATCTGTCAATATTATCAACGCGGATGAGGCAGCATCGTCCAACAAGAACCATCAAAAGCACTGTTTGGTCATAAAGGTTGACAGGGGTAACCGTAGAAAGTTTTCTAGATGACCCATAAAGGCTCTTCGACGCTACAGTACATAGTAGGTGGGGGGGGGGGAAGGAGATGTCTGCGATGATCGACAGGAGCCAGCAGCTCGAGCACTTAAATCTACGAATTCAACAGGAAGGCTTGTCAACAAATCTGAATTTCAAGCAATGGCTCCGTGAATTTGACAACTAGATGTTACAATGAAATTTGAAGATCGGGCTGTCCTTAGAATTATCGTTCGACTAATTGCCGACGTAAAGCTAATTCCTCAACTCCACCCCCACCCTCAGACACAATTTTATGCCTGAAGCCTTTGGACACTTGTGTAATGAAAACAGTTAAACTAGGCTATCGTTCTTCAACTTTTTGCCGACAGGTGATGTGCTTGAGCGTTTTGATAACCATAATAGATGCGATCTGAAGACGACATGCTACTTATGTGGTTGCTGAGGACACAGTGACACCCCACGGCCGGTTTCATTCTTCTTCGAGGTAGGTCCCGTCCCCCAGTTGCCGTCGACCTTCCGTTCTATTTCAACCCAAATTGGACGCAGTTCGCGAACTGAAAATTAATTTGGTTTCAACAAGAAGCTTGACCGAATCCCAGCTGAAACTGTCATTAACCGTGTTCTTCATTCGAATGCACTGGACCAGTTTGTAAAACAGTCGAGTTGTCGCAGTCTATTTTCTTGACGGAAAACTACTTATAAGGTCAGTGAAATCTCACCCGCCAAAAACGAATTAATTACCACATACATATTCTGGACACTATCGTATGGATTAATGCAAGTAAGTCTGAAAAGGATGGGATAAAAGAAGGCAGTGTGCGGACAAGATGCGTCTCCTTCGTCCGTGGGAATTTTTATTCAACAAGGTGCCAAATTCCTGACGCCAGACAAACCACTGACATCCATCTAGCATAAATTATATCGAATATTCGTTTGTAGGTCCACAAGAGGTGCTTCAAACAAAATTAGAAAACCAGAATAATTATCGTGCGAACTCAGAAAATCCAACAGTGAGTTTCACCGGGGGACCTGAACAGAAGACAAATTCACTGACGCTAATTTACTGCACATATACCGAATCGAATAAGATACATTGGCACTTTCCGTGGGCAAACCCGTAAACAAGAGAACCCTGTATTTCAAATATCCCAGTAGATCCAGTACAGGAGAGAGTACAAACGAGGGATTCAGCTGGGTTCCAGGTGAGTCTCTTGCAAAACCAAATTTGTTTGCAAATGTATGTACTTCGCCAATTTTGTTTTTGTTTTCACTGCAAAACCAATCTTGTTGGCAGTTGTGCCAGGAGTAAATGTTAGTTTTTGAAAGGTGCGGATTAAGTCCTCATCATTGCTGAAAGCAGCGAGGAACTAGTAAACTTAGGTCACATGTCGTGATCCCAGATAGAGGCTTTTTTGTCCGAACGTGAGTGGAACGTCGGTGGATTTGTGGACAGCCCGGTTCCAGATATTGCTGGCGACCAGCGCTCTCAAATGCACCACACTTCCGGTTGACACGACAGAACGGGTGCTAATTTAAAAATAATTTGCCAGCTGGAACAAAAATTTCTACCGCTTTCTTCCTCGGGATGTTGGGGTTCCCTTCTTCCAGATAGAAAATTTTTATCTTTGGTTCGTAACGTTTTCTGTCCTCAGGTGCGCTTGGAAAATATTCTCCTGAAGTTGCTGGAGAGGCGTTCCGTTAAATATTGTCTTATTTAGACAAATGGCTACTCACCTCTTGGATTACCCCAATGGCCAGTTAAAAACGGGTGTGAGATCTCACTTTAGGTGCAGGTGTCTCCACGGCCACATTTATAATGCCATGTTGTGAAGCACAGGATTGGGCTACCTCATTAGGTACAGTACCTCACATGGTCACACGGGGACATTTTAAGAGTAACAGAAATCTACCTTGACCTCAAAAATCAATCGCTAATGCTCTGGTTTCACCAGAACTTTAAACGTCGTTTGCTTCAATCTTTATGCAACTGGAATCAGAAGTAACTGTCACCTAACGACCCTCATCTAGGTCGTGGAACCGAAAACTGGCATGGGAGCGAGGAAACTGTGACGTAATGCTATCCAATGTAATATGATTTGACGTCCAAAACTTGCCGAGTTCCACCAGAAACTATTTTCAGCAAATCGGCAACGAATGTTGAGTTAGATTCACTGGATTTTCAAAGGAATGCATGTTATCCTTGCACTAATTCTCACTTGTACTGTGACCGGCGAAATTTGGTTTACTGTGTTTTTGTTGGAGTTAAATTTCGTTGAGTTTCACGAGGCCAGAAGCATCATTACTTGACGAGCACGATGTCAAGCAGGGGCATAGATAGAGAATCCTGTAGGAATTCAGCGAGAGATCATTTGCAGCGGACCTTGCTTGGAGAGCTCTGTGCAAGGTATTTTGTCGGATTTTATGTGCTACTCGTCAAACACATAAGTAGTTAAATTTATTTGCGTGAAATATCCTAACAGTCCACTTAAACCCCAATGTCTCTTGTGCTGACATGCCAGCTGAAGGTGAATGCCTGTGCCAGATAGGACACACTGTTTCTACACTGAATCTCTTTGAGCTGTAATCGTAGCCACCAATACGGACTGGGCTGACCGTACTATATGGTTGCTGATTCTTGCAGGAGTTATCCCTCCGTCTAAGATAGCCAGTATTTAGGTCATTGAACGTAATTGTACATCGTCCACTGATCTTATTGTCCTTCAGGCTTGGCTAATTCAAAACCTCCGCATACTGGCAGGCTGAGCTAGAAGAACAACATTTCGGCATATTCAAGCAAACTTGGAGCAAGCCATGGATAAGTCACATCATAAAACCCACTGAAAAGCACGGCGTAAGCAACAGCCTTGGCTTACCGATTGTTGCCGTATCGATTCTTTCTCGAACGAGAAGTCTCCACTTATTTGGTAGTAAGAGAGTCCGACATCCATTGCAGAGTTGATCGATGCCGCGGTTAGTGAGGTGCACGAACTGCCGGATTCGTACACTTCGGAACTCAAGTCCAAATCAGAAGATTTTTTGGGCTCTAAGGATAGTTAGGGGAGAAGAAAGTTTGATCGTCAGGTCCTCACAGGTCTATCAGTTTTCATCAACTTAAAAATCAGAAAGTTCTTTCAAGATTTTATGTTGATCATCTATACTCGTCTGCTGAAACTCACCACATTAGGATGCGCGCCCAATTCTTGAATTTTCCAAAATTTAGACCGTAGTGAGCAATGAATTTAATCTGAACTTTGCCTAGCTTTGACAATCATTTGATGAGCCATCTACCAACAAAACAGGCTGAACTTTTGAGAAGAATTATACCTAAACGTCGGTTACTATTACTCTGATTCAAGTGGCTGTAATTCACGATCACAGATTGAATTTGGTGTGGCAGACGTCAATGGAGGATTTCACCAAGAGTTCTCTAGCTGCAGATGGCTCAACTGGTTAGAGCTCGAATTCGTTGACCGGAAGATCCATGGTTCGAACCCGACCTCTGCCTCTCGACTTCCCCTATCTAGGCTTGGGCAACCTGGCAGTATCTTAGCCCTCGTGCTTCCTTCTGGTGGCAAGGCAGCTAGGCACCGAAGCAGTGTTATGGCTGAACAGTTTTTTCTGTAGTTGCTGGTGCTGTTTACCTTCTACGATGCGGTCCACATGACACTTCATGTGCTCGGCTGAGGACACCTAACGATATGGTGGCTAACCGATGTCAGTTGCCTTGATGCTGTCAATTTTTATCCAAATTGTCTCAGTGACTGTGCTTGACTAAGGACACCTGAAGATATGGTGGCTAACCGATGTCAGTTGCGTTGATGCTGTCAGTTTTTATCCAAATTGTCTCAGTGATGGAAATGTAGGCATCTCAGGTGTTTGTGGTAGACTTGTTCCCCCTCTCTGTCCCATTTCTTTCTTCTTTCCACTGTAAGACGCTATTCAAACAAACATACGTTTGTAATACTAACAATGTTGATGGTGATGACATTGGTGAGAATGATTCAAGTGACTTAATTGTACTTTGTGTGCACTCTTCGGCTTGATTTGAGCTTTGAACTACCTGTTTAGATTTACATGTTGGTTAAACTCGTGACAGTTACGGTTTATGAAAAGAACATTCAAGATGGTGCCACCTAGCGCAGTTTGTCTTGTTACCAAGATCGTAGAACATCGTTCCGCTGTAGTACCCTTCCGGTGCCTAAATGGCATGTCACCAGATGGAAGCACGAGGGCTGGGATACTGCCAGGTTGCCCTAGCCTAGACAGGAAGAGCCGAGAGGCAGAGGTCGGATTCGAACCACGGACCTTTCAGTCAGTAAATTCGCGCTTCAGCCACCAAGCCATCTCGCCACATTAAGGACGTTCGACATATGTTCGACTGTTCCTCTGGAATACGTTCGATTGGCTTAACTCTCGGTAAGCTGAAATGTGTCCGTACAAGGTGACAGTTTCAGTGAATGCAACTCACCAACCACCATGTCATCTGGTACAACATATCTACCGTCGGATGAACGACGGCACTGTGAATACACATCCCGATCGATAGTTGGACCACGTTCTTCATTGACCAAGTTATCCCATCCAACACCGGGTAGAACTTGTAACAACCGTTCGCCAACTTTCAATTTGCACTGTTCCTCGGTAGGGACGGGAGGTAGTTTCTTCAGTTCTTGATCAGCGGGAGCGCATTGTGTATGAAGGATATGAGGTCTGCGGAAAATATACACGTGTGACGTTGAAATCAAATTGTAAACTGACGGGAAGATAACACTAAGTGTTCAGTGAACTGAGGTGAGCGGGAAGCAAACTGACTGGGTCATAAGAAAAACCCATTCATTCTAACAGATTGGAACAAAGAGCAACATACCTCAAGGGAGGATACCTTTCTAAAAATAAAGCGTCAACCTCAGTTACTGAACTGTCTTTGTGATGTAATGATATAGAATTCATCTCAGAATACGCTAATTACGCTCGCTCAAGTACCAATGTGGTTCTAACGGGGATCTCAACTGGATCCCGTTTCTAGTTACTGAACTGTCTTTGTGATGTAATGATATAGAATTCATCTCAGAATACGCTAATTACGCTCGCTCAAGTACCAATGTGGTTCTAACGGGGATATCAACTGGATCCCGTTTCTGACATTCGAATAGAACATAAGTTCGACGGGAACTCGGGGATTTTGCCTCGCCGATGAGCCCCAAGGGGGCGAGACTGGTCGTGAGCTGTTCGAGAGTTTTCAGCGACCTTGTGAATACTTTGGAAGCTGACACCACTCCCTGTGAGTGGTGTGGTAATCAAGGTATTCAGCAGTAAAAAACCTGTCGAAATGTATCACTCTGTCAAACACAACGCATCCAGTTAGCGGTAGCTCTCAAACTAGAGCCCCGAGTTCGCCAAAGTATCTGAGTTCCAATAGGGAAAAACGAATGATATGGGGGCTGTACAAAACTGAAAAATCGTCACTTAATTTCGCCACTTCTCAAACAGTTTCTGATTGCTACTTAGCATTCATATTAACCAATATCACATAAGCACTAAACCGCCTGTGTATTTATGATGATCCTTATTTTACGAAGGAATGGAATGAGCGAAAGTATTGTTGGATTTCAAAGGCTTCATGGAAACTGGTGCTTTAGTCATCATCGAGTGGGTCTAGAGTAACTGGACATATTACCATCAGTTTCCAGTTTCCAGGTCCGGGCAGCTTGTTGGTCAACCGATCTGCGCTTCCACCAAGTTTTGCTCTGAGCGAAAATTATTGTCGTTATTTTCACCTGAATGTTCATTATCCCTATAGTTGTGGAAAGTGTGTTGATGCCTTACGTTCGAACAGGACGGGTTAGGAACCCCACATTCAGACTGTGCAGGAGCTGGCGGGGACCGCCTTCGCACTCCTGAATGAAGTAGGAATGTTTAGGGAGGCAAGCGACTCTTGACATTAAGAAAAAACACGTGGTGAGTGCTGTAGCACCGGTCGTCAGACTTTCGCGCCTTACCGGTTTCCACCCTGCACTTTTTGTCAAACCTCGCTGCTTTACAATCACTTTTGGGATCGGATACTCAGTTGACCCCAGCTGACTGACATGCTGAGTCCCAGTGAGACCACTGATATGAAAGCGATAGGTCAGTAAACTACGGCTGACTGAGTGCGCAATCCCAGAAGCGCAAGAACGATTACCAGCCATCAACCTACTAATTGAAACCTTTGATCCTCGAAGATAAGCACCGCCGCATCACATGTGCCGTCCAAAACGCATCCATTGTTGCAACCGAGACGCCGTACTGGTCGCGTCAGAAGACTTGTGGAACCTTTTTAGATCGATCCGCGCCGACAGTCTTACGTTCAACGGTAACGCCCGGAACCTACTGAGATCCCAAAATTCCACTAAATTCTAGACGCCGTACCGGTCGCGCCAGAAGACTTGTGGAACCTTTTTAGATCGATCCGCGCCGACAGTCTTACGTTCAACGGTAACGCCCGGAACCTACTGAGATCCCAAAATTCCACTAAATTCTCAGTAGGAAAGCTAGTAAGCATCCAGGCCAGTCAATCATACAATCAATTCAGCAAAAGCTAGTGAGTGTTCAGGCACGCTACAGAAGCATGACCGAATGTAATCAGCGTTCAGACATTTCATAGGAGCATGGTCGATGTTGAGGGGTGTTCACTAACGCCTATCAGACAGCTGGATGAATGGTCAGAAAGTCCCCTTTAAATGGCGTGGAGCCGTTGTAACTTTTGCTCTCACACTCGCCTGTTCGGAATATAGCGGTTGTGTTCCCTTCTGTGAGTTTTTTTGCCGGCTACTAGGCACTGGAGCGGGTCAGCAGTCAGATACCGCATATTAGCGGATCAGCATATATAACACATTCTGAGGTACAAAATTTACCATCTGTAGGAAGATGGTGTACCCGTTGCTGTTATACGGTTTGTTCTAGCCATCCGGCTACTGGTACAAGACAGGCTTTCAGAGAGCATAAATAAAGAGCTTAGATGAGCAAATCGCACAGGTAGTCTAAGGGCAGAGATATGAGAGAACAGTTCGTTTCAACATCCCTTCGAATGGCTTTTGCCAATATGTAGGAACGCCAATCAAAATAAATATTAAAAAAAACTGAGAACAAAGTACACAAGCGACGCACCAGGCCCCGGAAATAAGATTCGTCAAGGCCATGTATTACCTCAGAGTGCGAGAAGCGCCGTGACGCATGAATCATGTGTATCTAATCTCTGCGTGTCGGCCAATCTGCTGGCAGGAATTGTACACAGCGTTTCTGCCCCCACATGTTTGGTTAACGTCACTCGGCCAAAACCGCCTCCGCTGAGCAAACCATCCGGTTCTGTGTGGACGTGGCGCCACACCACTACCACTCTCTAGTTTTACTGGTCTGCGGAACGTGGTCACATAAATCTAACAACAGCGTGTAGAATTTGGTAACCCTTGAGTGGTTCGGTCACATGCTACCAAGAGATCTGTGCGGAACCGTACTCGATTAAACTTCTGAGTCAAAAGCTCAGTTGCCCTCATCAGCCTAAGTTTGACATCATCGCTAAATCATTGCGCCAAAAGCATTAACCGAAAAACATCGGTGGGGCCACTTTTTGCTCCTGAAATCAGAATGCGTCAGTCCTCCATGTCACACAAAATGCTCATCTTCGACCACAGGTCTTCCAGTCGTAGACAACACGCTTTTCTAGGTGGAATGAGAAGGCCAAGTGCCATGGATGATAAGACGAGTCGAGGAAGAAACCATATCAGCGTGTAGAATTTGGTAACCCTTGAGTGGTTCGGTCACATGCTACCAAGAGATCTGTGCGGAACCGTACTCGATTAAACTTCTGAGTCAAAAGCTCAGTTGCCCTCATCAGCCTAAGTTTGACATCATCGCTAAATCATTGCGCCAAAAGCATTAACCGAAAAACATCGGTGGGGCCACTTTTTGCTCCTGAAATCAGAATGAATCAGTCCTCCATGTCACACAAAATGCTCATCTTCGACCACAGGTCTTCCAGTCGTAGACAACACGCTTTTCTAGGTGGAATGAGAAGGCCAAGTGCCATGGATGATAAGACGAGTCGAGGAACGAAACCATATCACCTGAGCCCTACTTTCGCAACTGAAATAAACAGCTGATTCATCTCGCATCGGTCTAATGGAATGTCCGATGATATGTCTCATTAGAGTCCCTCATGTGACTTCGTCGATGGGACGTATGTTGCTATTTTCTTAACATCTCAAAGGCCTTGACCACCAAACGGGAGTTCGCGTCCCTCCGTAGGCCTGTCTTGTCTGTTTTTCGTCTACTTGGAGTTCTCATTGCGATATATACCACATCCTTTCCTACCTTCTAGAAAACTGTGAGGAGTATTGGTGAATCTCAGTTAGGGTTCCGTCTTGTAAGTGAGACCAATCTATTCTGAGGAAACGAGAAGCGCTGTAAATCTGTTGCAGTCTCGTTAAGGATCGTCATCACTGCGCGACGTATGCTTTTCGGCGCAGATTTCCTTCAGTGAGAGTAGAGAAACTCAGATGAAGACTAGCAAATCTATTCATACTACCTTCAATCAATAAGTAGCTCATAGAAAGAGCAACATCTTAGGAGTTCTCAGGGGAGGAACCAGTCAACATGTGTGACTGCGTGATGTGAATATCGAAACTGAAGGATGAGTGGCACTAAATCCTACCTGAGTGAGAGATAACGACGCTGCTGATCAATCGCTCGTTGTTCAAACTACTCAGCGGGAGGTCACGGGCTTGACGTTCTCTGGATTTTCGTGATATGGGCGTTGGTGATGATTCTCTATGAGGATGGCACAGATGTGTGGCGAATGGATTGGTTTCACTCCGGAATTTGCCCATTGTTGTCACTGTTCTTTCGCACTGCAAAACACCGGTTCGACAAAAGTGCTCCCTGGTCTCCAAAACGTGTGAATTCAGAAGCCCATTCGATAACTGCACATGTGTTCATTGGCCTACTGCATGTGATGTGCAACGCAGATGACACGTTTGGATCCGACAAGCATAGTCACTATGACAGTCTTTAGCTGACCATTCAGAGCTCATCCACCCAGCTGCCCCAGTCCAGATGTGCTCCTTCTAAGGCACTGCCTGACTATCTTGGAGAGCCAGAATACGAGCTGGCTAGATGAGACTCTGCTTTATCAGCAACTCCTACGAGGATTAGAAGCCATTTTCGCCCCACGGTTCCTCTGCAAAACTTTCTATGTCACGGCTGAACACGGCAGTCGTTTCTCAATAACATTGAGACAACTATGTAATGCTCCTCGCTTGTTCAGCATGCAGTGTAATCCAAAATCGAAATTTTGGCGTCCTTTTATCCGTCTTTTTCCGCCTAGTTCTCTCCACCTTAACAGTTTTTCCCCTCATCCCGAAAAGTTCTCACCCAAAAAGTACACTTGTGGTTGGTTACAATGCGCTCATCCTGTTGGATACTTCCGTACAGAATAGAGTAATGCATACGCTGTTTTATGGTCTACCCCGATAAGTATAATAATTTAAGGGAAATACGAGTAATACTCACCCGGATAAGAAAAGAATCAATAATAGTGTGTGACTGCTATCCAACATTCTCGGCACCAAGTGTGGTCAAATTTGTCTCGCAGTCACCTTATATTACCTGTGCTGTTCGAATTGACGCTAATCAAGCATATCACGCGTTCGGCAGTTTAGCATACAAGCGACCAGTTACCCTACCAGATTAGTTACGGACACAGCGAAATAATCTGAACCTGTGAATATGAGTGTGCGTGTGTGTTTCCAGATGAAACGTAGACACACGATAATTTCACTGAACCAGTGCTACAAACGGTACAGATTAGCGTTCCGAAAGTTCACAGGCGACTGATGCGAAAGCGTTTGGCAACTAATCGAATAGGTGGCACCGAGACTATTGATTACTGTTAACGCAGTGATTTGCTGGCAGAAATGCGTTGCAGTTCATCTGACTGAACTGCTGGTTGACAAGAGTCTCGACCTGGTCGTTACGCTCAGGTTCAACGAATGGTCGTATTCAGACCAAGATGACACGGGAAGTGTTCAAACAGACAAAAGACTACACAAGTTTGAGGATGCGCGCACATGAACGAACCACCCTAAAAGAGACAAACGGATGTCTTTTGTTGTAAGAATATCGGACCATTTCGATGGATTTAAGGCGCCACAAGTCCCCATAGCAAAACGCTGGAGATGAACAAAGGTTGGTTACGGACTTTTTAAGTCAGAGTACAGTGTAAAGCCTTTCTGCACTGCATTTCACCAGTTGGCGCGCGTCTACTGTAACCGAACGTGTACGCGTCAGTTCGGACTTGGGCAGGTAAATTCCTTCTTTTCTTCCAGTGTCAATATAATTCCTGAACAGTATCTAATTAATCTAGCCTGGCTTTCACTTAGCTTTGCTGGTCAGCGTGGAATCTGAGCTAAGTCAGGTCTCAGTCCCTTACTGTTGCTGGTTCTTTGATGGCCTTCGTAGCGACAATCTCTTCTTCCTTTTTGATTGGCCTGTTTTCACACATTGCTTTATGCCTGGTTTTCTTCTACTCCATCGATTGATTGGATGCCATTCTACTTTTAGAATTTTCCTTTCTCTGATCCGATTTGTCCTTTGGTTACTTTTATGTTGCTCGATCACCTATATACTTCAGAGTCCAGTAGTTGTGCAACTCTTTTGACCGTAGGGACTGATATACTGGCTGGCTATTGATCGGTCCATTGATCGATTTCTACGGTAAACACCCGCTCCCTTTCTGTTCTTGCACGAGCAAGCACTCCGATGTTATCACAAGTGAAGTGTTGCAGGCCACATACGTTCCCAAAGATCGCAAGTGTATTGTGGAAACACGGTTCTACTAGGTAAAAAGGACCCCTCAGGATTGAATGTCAATCGGCTAAATAATCGTCAGATAGATTAGATCATGGCAAATTGCCCGAGCGGCTACTCATGAGATAGAAAGAGAGTCAAGTTCCCATAGAAGGAGAGCTATATATAAGGGCAGGTGGCCGGGCCTCCCACATCGTGCGCCACGCGTGCAAGACTGTGTGATACACTATACGGCGTGCTGGACAAGGTCAAATGTTGAAGAGTGGTCAAAGGGTCAGACGACAAATGTCAACAAAGAGTAACACACACATACACTTATAACGTCACGTGTTCTGACTAATCGATCCAACGTAGCCCGATGTGTGCTTTCTCATCATTCGATCCATAGACACTGTCATTTATGGTGATATCTCAGCCAGACACCAAGCTGATTCTCTGTATCCAAAGTGCTTTAACAAACGCGAGAGCCATGTTGTTCCATCTCTTGTACACGCTTTTGAACAGCTGCCGAGTCGAACTGTTTGCCATGACGAGGAATTCGGTGTGTACGTGCCGTAGAGAAGCAAGGAGAGAACCGGAGAACTTCGAAACACCACGTTCGCGAGGACAGATCGGTTTCCCAGGCTGCACCAGTTCGGTGCAGCAGTGGAGATTGTCAAGACACTTAGATATTCAAGCTGATCTAAAACCACCACTTTGGGGCAATCATGTGTTATGGTTTTTGCCCCCGGAAAAGCGAAAAGTACACTCACTTCATATCCTATCTGTTATGTGTTTTTACAACAGAAGGAAGGAAGGTTCCAGCTAGGCGTCAGGAAGTGAGATCGCGGTGGACAATGTAGACACTGTCACAGAAGTCACAAGGTCGGTTGCTTGGTGACCATGATGCCCCCCGCCTGGCTGCCAGCTTAGCTTTCAGATGACAAGAGCGTATGTAACGAACTAACAAGAAACCAGAAGACGCCATACTTAAAAACTAGTGGATCGACAAAATCGATGTTGTATAACATCAGTTATTAATGTACGCAAATGATGACACTCGACTCGTTTTTGGATAATGAAGTCAGATGATGAAATAGTTAAACAAGGCTAACAAAGTTCTCAAACAGATCATCAAATAAAGCCATGAATTCTGGTTAATTTGCCGATGTCGTTCCAGACCTACTCTTGATTCGCACGATAGAAACCTTTGGTCACCGAAATATGCACTTTCTATCTGAACGGGATCCCATTGAAGCGTCTCACCTGACTACCACCACCTGTTTAATATGGTTAAATTGTTTCAGGTCCTCATGGGTTTGTGGGGAATCTAGAAGATTTAATTCTCGCATACCGGTGCCCGCGTCGTTCAATAGCGTTTCTCTTCCAGACTACTTGTGTTTTCAAGTAGTGAAAATACTCCACATTTTCACTTCGTGACTTCGTCTCGGAAAGCCTGTTGGACATGATTTGATTCGTCCAAGGTAGGAATGCGTAGGATGTACACCAGGTGGCTCCAGGTAGCACTTACGCACAGACTCGGAAAGTCCGTAAAGCGCGTGACTGAAACAGACCACAGTCCAATCTGGCTGACCGATAGTTTTCCTTCGCTTGATCATAAACAAGCCAAGAACCAAAGCAAAATGTTACCAGAAAACGGACCAGAGTCCCCAGTTAATGACAGTTCCGCGGTATGTAACTACCCAAAGCAAACTTCGGTTCGTCGAGCAACGTACTTCAACTCCGGTCAGACAATTCGAATGATATTTCATGCGTACTCAGTATATGTTAGATTTCGTTACGAAAAGCTGAAACGAACAACAGGATAACTCGTGCACGGTCTAAATTTTTCACCGTTCACCCAGTGTACGTTCAGCACCTGAGGATTTGTCGCTTGTCCTACCGACTGATTCAATCAACGAAGGTCGAGTTTTACCTTAGTAGAAACTGAGCTCAAACTTGGCTTTAGGGCCTTGTTAGTTGAGTGAACTACACAGCTAAGTGTTTCGGAGACATGTGTACTCATGATCAGTATTTGCTGATTACACGATGTTCTTATAACCATATAAAAGTAAAATAATGCCAAATCATATTGTTCATTATTGGATAAAATCGCAAATATAATCGTCCAGCTGTTGCACGCTTTCGGAGCCAAATTGTCACGCCTCCCGAAGGAAACAAGACGTCTGGGGTACTGCCATGTTAGCCGGGCCTGAAAACGAGCAGCCGAGACCCAGTGATTGGACGTGAACCACGGAACTTTTTGTCATTTCGCACCTTAACCGAAGACCTGTCTACAGCTTCTGTTAGTGGATACTCTAAATTATGGCTTACATCGAAGTTCTAATTACAGTCGCATCGAGAAAACATTTCCATAAAGGAGCAATCGACTGTCACAGGGATGCCCACCTTCGAAAACCAGAACTCCCAAAGAAATTTTCCCGTTTTTCTGAAAGAATGTTGTTTTAGTGAAACTAATTTCTCCCTTATTCGTTTCACTTCACAGTCCTTGTGATCAAGGTGAACCTAGTGTTTGTGCACAGTCCGAATAGGTGTAAAAATATGGGCAAGTGGTACGCATAAACCCGTTCCAAGCGGCAGAATGCAAAGCAATAGAAGGCACTCACCATTTTCATCCCCAAGTCGAACAAGAAGGCTTCATCCTCCCGACTTACAGTGAGGAACCCACCGTCCCACGTAACAGGATACTCGTCGAAGCGTTTTCAGCAACCCTACGAGTAGTATATTACGTCCTTAGGTTATGTTTCCAGGGCCAAGTTATCGTCCTAGGAGAATCCTATGAACAATTGTTCCCTAGTGGCACGCACTGACTATAAGGTAAGCTCGTTCAGATGGTAGTCAACTAGTGCATCTCGAACTGGATATTCTCACCGTCTTACCTACTCTTGACTAAATAGCCGTGTGGGTAGCCAGAATTTGCTCTAAGATATTTGCCTCCTTCGGGGGGGTGGGGTGGGGTGGAAGTTGAGGTAAAAACAATACCGTTTCTTCACATGTATTCTCTCGATGGAAATGTTTCTACTGAAGAGGCCCAGTGAAAGGGGAAAAACAAGGTAAGATGTTTTGAGGCAGACATCGGTCAGCATAGCGGATGCTTGAGGACGGCGCCTGCTTAAATTCAGATTACCAAAATTTGGAAACTTATCGGCGATGACATGTCCGTTTAACCGACGTGCACAAATATCCAGCTAATTTAAGTCCCGGTCTGCGGAGTAACTCGCCTTGCGAAAAATGATACGAAGTTGGCATTTGGAGTTGCCAGTTACCGGCTGTTTCTTGTTGTCAGAACTGTTTACTGTGCGTCGAATTCACCTGACATTGTGGAAGTTTTAAGACTATGATTCACAAAACAGTGGCTGATTGACGTAGCGGCAGAAATTATCAAAACATCATAGAATCGAGGGTGCGGAAATGGTGAGCGTACGGAAGGCGGTCTTAGATAAGCCGATTTGACAGGTCACACTCTGCGATTGTCAATGAACGTAGAATCGTCAACAAAAACAGGTGGTGTGGAACTTCCAACCCGATCAAAGTTCACAGGATCCCCCTTCCCTTCAGATCCATCGTAGAACTAGCTCATCTACAAAGACAGACGAAAAGTGCAAACACGCTCAAGAGGAATCCACACGTGAAATGGACCGGAAGAACTAGACTCTAGACTGGAACCAAATCCATGTAGGTTTCCCCATCAGTCTAACACTTGGTCACCCAGCCTAACACACAAAATCCCTCGGGCGACA